AACATATCTATATAATACTTCAAAAATAATGCCAAAAACTGCCCTCAGAAAATAGTTTAAAAATAAGACCTAAAAAAAAACCTATAAACTTAATTAATTAAAAAGACTAAAAATAGCTAATATATCTAAGTGCCTAAAATACCTGAAATAACTAAGATACCTAAAACCAGTATCTAAAATGCCAATAAACTTAATTAGCTAAAAATAAGTAAATAGGACTGGCCAGATAGCTCAGCAGATTAAAGCACATGCTTGGGCAGGGCCAAGTACCAGGGTTTGATCCCGGGTGAGCCACGCTGGCCTCAACCCAGGGCACACTGAGACAGCAATTGAGACTGGGCGTGTTGGTGCATGCCTGTAATCCCAGTGCTTGGGAGGCTGAAAGCAGGAGGATCACTATGAGTCCGATCTGTTTAGCGAGACCCTGTAGACCATGTATTAAATACAATAAATAAATAAATAAATAAATAAAATAGATAACTTTAAAGAAGCAGACATTTTAGTGAAGGTTGCTGCATATGGGGCAGGGAAGCTGAGAGACACAAGTGAGAAAGCACAATGATCCCCTTGTAGAGTAGAAGATGGCACAGATCCCACGGTGACTACAGCGACTGGTGCGGTGCCACACAGCATCACAATTTGTTAGAAGTGGATTTTAGTGCTTTCTCCATATACCCAAAAGGTGCTTGTGTTAACTGATCCAAATACTACCAAGAAGAATTGATAATTTCACAATATAAAGAGTAACAGGTTGTACTGTATACTTTCTATATACAATAGGGGTTTTTTTGTTTGTTTAATGAAATTGAAGACAATTTAATTTAGCCAAAATAACATGACTAAGGTCTTATGATGTGGCCACAGAATCTCTTTTCTTCAATTTTGACAAATGTGTTTCAGCTTCTCCTGTATTTATGTCTGAATACATTCAGCATTAATTGGTGCAAAGGTTGTGGGATATTGCTAAACAGAAAGTATCCAGTATTTTAGTGAAATTTATACTTGGTTCTTTGGAAATGTGCAGTACATTTTGAGGCTATCATTTGGAGACAACTGACATTATCACAAGTTCATTTCATCCCACTTTGATAACAAGTTGTGAAGTGTTTATTCAGAAAACTGTCTACATTTTAAAAGGACTTAAGTTTATCTGACTTAATTCATTCAACACATTTTCAAGTTGTATCTATTTTCCTACAACTGCCTTGAATTTGTCCTTAGTTGTGGCCGAGTAGCGTTCTGTTATACAGAGATGTTACATTTTCTTTATTCCTCTGTTCACAGACATATCAGAGAACACAAAGAGATACTTGGCAAATGCATCCGGAGGCCAAGGTGAGGAGGGCAATCCTTCTGCATCACAAGCATGTACTGAATAATCATAACAATATTAGCGAGGAGGATGATGAGATAGGAAAGAGGGAGTCTGAAGCAGAAGCATGGTGGTGATTGAGGAGGGAGGGGAAGCCGTAAGAATCAAAGTGCTGGGCTGGGGAGATAGTTTGGCGGTCTAAGCACCTGCCTGGTAAGTGAAAGGATCTGGATTCAACATTCCAGCCCCAGACCCCCGGGTCTGCCACTGAAACGGGTGGCAAACAGCTGTAATCCCAGCACTGGGGAGGCAGAGACAGGGATCACTACAGGTCTAAGCTGCATAGTGAGACCTTGTACCAAATAAATAAATAAGTGATTGAAAAAAGAATCAAAATATTACTATGTTCCTGCCCCCTAAGATGAATTTTAACATGTATCCCAAATATGTATCAATTTAAAAGCTTAGTATATAAATACTTCTCTTTTTGAAAAAAAAAAGCTGGTAAGTTACAGTGATTTCACTCATTTTATAATGCCTATGAAAACATTTTGTTGCTATTTTACTTTCAAAGGATAAAGTTTGGAAAATAGATATTCCACCAAACTGTAAATTCACATGCAATGTGTAATATTTCATACACCATCAACACCACATAGAAATCCAAAAATATGGAGAGAAAACTAGCGACACAGTAGAACCAAAACGACCCCATTATGGCATGTGCAGGGTGCTCCTGCATGGGGTTGCCTAGCACTGTCCTCACGCATACACGTCCCATGCTCCGGAACGCCCAAGGGTGACCCTGTAGGTGAGAGGCGTCTCTGTTCATAGAAGTGAAGGGTCTGGGGTGAAGAGGTAACCCTACACTATTTGGATACATCCTAACTCTAGAGACAAGTGTCTTCATCTGAGGTAGGCACATGGAGATGTGTCAGAGACAGAACAGAGAGAAAGCCATGAAGACACAAGTGAGCATTGGGGAGACAAAGCCACCCACACAGGGATGACCGGAAGTCCCAGGACAGGCACCAGAAAGGGGAAGAGTAAGGAAACACTCTTTCTTAGGTCTCCCAAGGGGAGACTCTACCAAATTTTGGACTACTAAAGATTTAAAAATAGAAAATAAAGCCGTGCAAGTGCTAGAATAAGCAGCCAGACACGGTGGCATTTGCCTACAATAATGCCAGTATTCTGGGAGGCTGAGGTAGGAAGATCACAAATTCAAAACGGATCTGGCAAATGTCCTAACTTAGCAAGGGCCTGCCTCTCAATCAGTTGTTCTCATCAAGCAATCGTAAGGCTGGGGAATGTAGCCCAGTGTGAAAACCATGCATACAACCCCTGGTATGGGGTGCAGGAGTGACAGAATGAGAATTTCTATAAATTCCTATTATTTGGTGTTGACAAAGGCTACTGTAATTATGGCATGAGGGGCTGGGGAGTCGGCTCAGTAGGATAAGCACTTGCCTGGCAAGTGCAAGGGTCTGAGTTCAATCCCCGGTTCCACCAACCCCCCCCCAAAAAAAAAACCCCAAGCAATTCCCTGTAATAATGGCATGGATTAAAGATAGGTAAATTTAAGTATATAAAATTATATTATCTACAACATAAGAAATTTCTTTTTTTTCTTTTGTGTATTTGGTAGAAGGTCGCACTATGCATCTTATATTCTTAATGATCCTCTCATTTTCAGCCTCCCCAGCACTGGGATTATAGGAGGTACCACCACACTGGGTCTTGGTGGCCGGCTCAGCACACCTGGGGACAGGGCCAGTGCGACAAGAAAGAGGCCATGTGTTGTGGCACATACCTGCAATCCTAGCACTCAGGAGACTGAGGCAGAAGGATCACCATGAGTTTGAGACCAGCCTGGGTTACACAGTGAGTTGAAGTCCTGACTGAAATACATAGTGAGACTCTGTCTCAAAAAACAAAAATCAGACCAGTACAAAACAGGAGGAGGAGAAGAAGGTTCTGCTCGCATAGCCTACGAGGCCGACTTGGCAGACACCTGCTGGGTGGGGGCCAACTGCATCCTTAGTCTCACATGCAGGAAGCTGGATCTGCTCTTGTGGCCTCTTCCTGTCTTTCTGCCACATGGACAAGAATAGCGAATGAGGACTTTCCAGAAACAGAAGGGAATAAAAGATGCCGGGAGATGGGGCAGACACAGATGACGGGGAACCCCCACTGGCGTCATGCAAGCTCCAGGGCCCAGCCTTCCTCCAAGGCCAAGGAGTGCTTTTGCCTTTGGAGATTATAAGTCACTCTGAACTATCTTCATAGGTTTCTTCTTTTATTTATAGCAGAAGATGTCTAAATGAATGATTCCCTGTTGCTAATTCTGTTTAGAATCTTAAGTATGGAAACAGCTTTAAGTAGAAATATTAATCTAAGGATTTCATATTGAGTTCCCAGCATGTTAGGCACTGTGTCAGGTAGTGTGGTCAGAGTGCTTCTGAATGCAGATGTTCATGTAGAATTATTTATTATTTATTTATTACCATGTGGCATTTATTTTTTTATTTTTTAATAATTTTATTGAGAAACAAATAGCAATGGGACAGTTTCAAAACCAATTAGTACGACAGTTTCAATACTTAATACATTGCATATTGTTGTCTTAGTGGTTATTCATTCTACAAGATGCAGACATGATATCCTGTCCACAAACACTATTAGAACAAATTTTTCTATTCATTGAATTAAGAAAATGTAGCTGTATATCTATTATAAGTATTTTGAATATACAAATGGCTGTTCATTTGTATCCCCTTTTTTTGCTTAGTTTTGTCAGAGAAGGGTATTCCATTGTCATTTAAATATTATAGATGCATGAATTCAGCAAAATAATCCAATATAGTCCAGTAGTCCATAATAGTAGTGGGTTTTCCATAAGACTGGCAATGTCAGAAGTTGTTGACTTGAGCCTTTTACAACTCAGCATATTAATATGGCTTTACTTTTTATATTTCATTTTTATATTTTTCTGCTGGATGGTTAAGACCAAGATAAAGCAAGACCTATATAACAAGAAAGGTAATTTTTGTATCTGATAAGGTCAGTCAAATCCCCTCAGGATTTATCCTGAAACCCTGTACCACAGTTTGTAGATCCTTTGTCAGTGTCAGCCTTGTGGATGAATCACGGCCATTGCTTGGCCAATGTGCTCTCTGTGAAAGCCTGAGAGAATGTTTTCTCTCCATGTGACTCTCTTTAGGCATACTCTACATCATCTATCACTTTCCTCTTTGGCCCCATAATCTCCTTGATCAGAAAATTTGGGACACAACTGAATTACATGATGTTACAGTATAGGTTCTCCTATGTCCTGAGTCTTCATTGACCTTGAAAGGCTAGGGCCAAAATTTTGGCTGTCCTTGTAGCCCTTCTATTTCTCTAATTTTTGGTCTGCAAACTTAGGTTGTTAACCCTCCAGAAGAGAAGCTTATTGTTATTACCCTACAACATAGGCAGTTAGCTTAATCTCACTATCTGGTTGACTATTAAACATCTTAGGCATAACATGGAATAGGTATTTTCCATTAAGTATTGATATGTTAACCTTTAAGTCCCTACAGAATATGAAGGAAAAAATTAAAAATATAAAACAAAATTTTAAAAAATAGGAATTAACAATTACATATTTTTACACAGAAGTTTAGAAATCTAACCCTATACAGCATTGTAGTAGGACAGTCCCATAACATTTATTTCTTGTCTCTTGTTTTCATTTATTACCCTTTTTTTTTTAAAACAAACGTTTACTTGAGAGTCAGTATGGCAGTAATTGGTATGTCATGACAAGCAGTACGTATTGAGAAGTCCAGAATGACAGGCATTCCAAACATGACCCTACTATTATACATTGCTATCTTCAGTGCAGTTGCTTAGTTCACAGGTATCAGCATATATAGTTAGTCAGGGTGAGAATCCTACCAATTAACCGCTAGTTTCAAAAACATGCTGAAGATTCTCGAGATCATTGCCTCAACTATCTTGTGCATAAAAATGTATGGCTTTGCCCCTGTCATGTTTCCTAGCTTTCCCCCTTGCCCTCTCTTCTTCATCTAATCCTCAAGTTCTCACTTTCCTTTTAATTGTGTTATCATGTAGAATTATTTATACTAGTAAAAACCACCTAGATTGATGTTCAATAGTCCAGGATTGATTACAGGCTACTTGCTCAGCATTACCTATATTAATGTTATTTAATTATTAAATGCTATTTGTCATAATAAGAAAAGTGGATTATTTTATTTATTCTAAATATTAATTTTACTGGTAGATTTTATTTTATTTTATTTTTTATTTTTTGGCAGAACCGGCAATTGAACTCAGGCCCTTGTGCTTGCCAGGGAAGCGCTTATTCCACTGAGCCATCTCCCCGGCCCTAGATGGTAAGATGATGATGCAAAGTTTCATTGTAGAAAATTCTCACGTTTTCTATAATAAGCAAGCCTACTTCTGCAAATAAAATAAATGAAGTCAAACATCAAGAAGGCTGGATGAGGAGCCCAAGACAACAGGGGAATCAGTCATCTACCTGAGTACACAGCATCTGTGGCCTTCTTCAGCCAGGCAATCTACTAAGAACTCGAAGTAAAAGGAATGGTCCTGCCCTGCCAACAAAGCAGCCCAACCCAGAAAGCGGGGAAGCTGGCAGCCACAGCGAAGGCTCTACCCCCAGTCTTTGCTTCAGGCAGTGGCTTTGCAACTGTGTGCCACTAGGACTCTTTTGGGGTCCGCCAGGGTCTGGATCTTGAATTTCCCTCCAAGACCCTGCACTAAGGCCTTGTCCCCAGCCTGGATCATCTAAAGGCTGTGGAAGGAAGGTCACTGGGGGCGTATGGGACTTGCCTGTCCTCTCTGCTTCCTCGCTGCATGAGGTGTGCAGTATCTTTTGCAGGCACCCCCTCCATCATGTCCTGCTTTTCACAAGCCCCAGGACAACACAGCCAAGTGACTGAAGCCTCTGACACAGAGAGCAAAATAAACCTTTATTCCCTTCTAGTTGTGTCTTGTTTCTCTCTCAAAATACCCGATATTCAAGGTTAAGAAAGAAAGGTTTACTTAGCTCACAGGTTATGGAGGCTTCCATCCATAACCTGCTGCCTCCAAGGCAAGGTGGTGTGGTGGAAAAGAGAAAGCAACAAGCAAGAGAGAGGAGAGCAAGCATCCCTCTACCCCTCATACGTATGCAGGCTACCTGCCTTAGAGTGGGTATAGCACTCATGCCCTTAATCCCAGCCCTAGACCACGCACCAATCACAAACTCTAGATTCAGCCACCTCCAAAACGCCTGCCCTCATGACTGCATA